GTCCATAATAGAAAGTGTCCTTTCCTACTGCATCACGGTGTGGTACGCTGGTTTGACATCAGCTGATAGGAAGTGCCTACAGAGGGTGGTGAATACAGCACAAGATATTATGGGCTGTCCCGTGAATCCGCTGGATGAAATAGCGGAAGAACGTTGCCTCAGGAGAGTGAGGAAAATTATCAGGGATGACTCACACCCTGGCCGGCACTTTCTTGATCTCCTGCCCTCGGGCAGAAGATATAGAAGCAGGATTAGTCGCACCAACAGGGTAAAGAACAGCTTCTATCCGTGGGCTGTCAGGCTGCTGAATGAAAAGATAACAACAGGGCAACTGACATTCGGGTTTGGTGGGTGTGCGTCAGTAAACGAGGGGAATTAAGACTAAGAGAGCTGAGTGGGGGGGTGCTCGTGTAATCTCACTGTATACAAGTTGTACCAGTGACAATAAAGTATTACAATATTACAATTTCAATTTCCCTCTCTATTGCTACTTGCCTGCTCTATCATTTTCTCCCAAGCCTGTCATCACCTTGGTTAATTCACTCTCTTGCCTCAGCTTTCCAAGCAGTGCTGGAATCTAGAAAAGGGAAACTCCTTTTCTTTCCCCCACTAACATTTCGAGGGGCTGGGTGCACCCCAAAGCCTCTGGGCCGATGACGCCGGCACTTGTGCCTGGAGCTATAGGGGTGGGCAGCAATTTGTTGCTGTTTTTGGGCAGGGGTCAGCAACCTTTTTCAGCAGGGGGCCGGTCCACTGTCCCTCAGACCTTGTGGGGGGCCGGACTATATTTTGAAAAAAAATATGAGCGAATTCCTATGCCCCACAAATAACCCAGAAATGCATTTTAAATAAAAGCACACATTCTACTCATTTAAAAACACCATTCAAAAATCCTGTCAAGGAAATAAACAACTACCTGACTTTTAGAAAATATCTGTTTAGGGAAGATTTCAATGTTTGTTGCTTTATCGTGTTTTTAATATTCTGTTGGTAGCTGCCCAGAGTGGCTAGGGGGGCCTGGCCAGATGGGCGGGGTATAAGTAATTATTATTATTATTATTATTATTATTATTACAGTCATACCTCATGTTACGTTTGCTTCATGTTACATTTTTTCAGGTTGCGCCCCGCGGCAACCTGGAAGTACTGGAAAGGGTTACTTCTGGGTTTCGCCACTTGCGCATGCGCAGAAGTGATAAATCATGCTTCGTGCATGTGCACAAGCACCAAATTGCGCAGCGCACCTGTGTAGATACGGCGTTTCAGGTTGCGGGCTTTTCATGTTGCGAACGGGCCTCCAGAATGGATCCCGTTTGCAACCAGAGGTGGTGTTGTTTAGTCTTTTAGTCTTGTCCGACTCTTTGTGACCCCCTGGACCAGAGCACGCCAGGCACTCCTGTCTTCCACTGCCTCCCACAGTTTGGTCAGACTCATGTTGGTAGCTTCAAGAACACTGTCCAGCCATCTTTTCCTCTGTCGTCCCCTTCTCCTTGTGCCCTCCATCTTTCCCAACATCAGGGTCTTTTCCAGGGAGTCTTCTCTTCTCATGAGGTGGCCAAAGTATTGGAGCCTCAGCTTCAGGCTCTGTCCTTCCAGTGAGCACTCAGGGCTGATTTCCTTCAGAATGGATGCGTTTGATTTTCTTGCAGTCCATGGGACTCTCAAGAGTCTCCTCCAGCACCATAATTCAAAAGCATCAATTCTTCGGCGATCAGCCTTCTTGATGGTCCAGCTCTCACTTCCATACATCACTACTGGGAAAACCAGAGCTTTAACTATATGGACCTTTGTTGGCAAGGTGATGTCTCTGCTTTTTAAGATGCTGTCTAGGTTTGCCATCGCCTTTCTCCCAAGGAGCAGGCGTCTTTTAATTTCGTGACTCCTGTCACCATCTGCAGTGATCATGGAGCCCAAGAAAGTAAAATCTCTCACTGCCTCCATTTCTTCCCCTTCTATTTGCCAGGAGGTGATGGGCCCAGTGGCCATGATCTTCGTTTTTTGGATGTTGAGCTTCAGACCATATTTTGCGCTCTCCTCTTTCACCCTCATTAAAAGGTTCCATGGGACTCTCAAGAGGTACTGTACCACAAAGGTACCACTATATTATTATCTACAGCAAGCACAGAAACTGCCTCCTTGACCATTGGACCCACTCTAGGTCTCATCTGCTCCATCCACTGGAGATGGACTTCGCATGCAGGGGGAATCCCTAACTCACAGAAGATTTGAGACGTATTGGCTACCCTCACCTGGTTTAGCTGTCCAGTCAAAGCCTTTCCCAAAGTGTGGCCACATATTGGCAGCTTCCAGGAGCCACAGGCTGAGTGGGCAAACTGGCAAACCCCAGAAGGAGCACAATGTGTCTCCCATCAGAGGTACTATGCCCCCCCTAACACGCCATACATGTGGACAGCAGTATAATGCAGAAATATTTTCAACAAATTATCTATCATTTGTCCTTAAAGAGCCGGTGGACTGGAATTGGCAGCCAGCCTTGAGAGCTTTGAACTCCCTTCAGCAGGTAGTCCACAAATACCTTGTACGCTAGTAAGGTTTAAGGTTCCACAATGCCTTGGTCAGGGCCGGATTTAGTTTTGATGAGGCCCTAAGCTACTGAAGGTAAGGTAAAGGGACCCCTGACTGTTAGGTCCAGTCGTGGCCGACTCTGGTGTTGCGGTGCTCATCTCGCTTTATCGGCCGATTGGAGCCGGCGTGCAGCTTCCGGGTCGTGTGGCCAGCATAATTAAGCCGCTTCTGGCGAACCAGAGCAGTGCACGGAAATGCCGTTTACCTTCCCGCCAGAGCGGTACCTATTTATCTCCTTGCACTTGACGTGCTTTCGAACTGCTAGGTTGGCAGGAGCAGGGACCGAGCAACAGGAGCTCAACGTGTTGTGGGGATTCGAACTGCCGACCTTCTGATCGGCAAGTCCTAGGCTCTGTAGTTTAGACCACAGCGCCACCCATGCAGAATGTATGCACCCTATATATAGAAATGAGCAAACCAGTGATATTTTAGGGAGCAGGCTAGCACGCGGGGGCCATGACTGTACATTATAGGAGCCTACACAACACAAAACTGTTGCTGCATGTAAGTTTTATTTTACATATTTGTTGTTTATCTTATATTTTGGAAACGTGCATCCAGTTTTTTCCTGCTTTAATTTTTTTGGTGGCCCCCAAGTGAGTGGGGCCCTAAGCTATAGCTTGTTTAGCTTATACGTAAATCCGGCACTGACCTTGGTGTTTTTGCTGAAAGACTCGAACACGTTCACCAGTCAGGAAACTGATTTTTTGTTTTTTGTTTTCAGGAGCCATTCACTGCTTGCAATTCTCTCCCAGCCCTGCCAGAATCAGCTGAGAGCGACTCTGAACGCATCTTGCAAAATAAATATATTCTTCCCCATAGAAAAAACTCTTGCAGCAGTTAACCCGTCAGGGTTAACAAGACTCTCTTTTTCCGCGATCTGACATCCTTTGCTCCTTGCTGCCGCCTATATTCTTTGTCCATGAACCACCCAAGCAGATGAGAGACTACATTACCCAGCATATGAGGAAACCTTAAACTAGGAAAATGGGTGGATTATTCCAACTACATCTCCCATCGGGCTCTGCTCGTGGGAAAGCGCCTGAGTCTCTCGCTTGCAGCCTCTGCAGCCGGTCCATTTTATTGCATTTCAGTGCTCATTTTGAGATGCTTGCAGCAATGCTCGCAAGTTGCAAGGAGGGCAGCTCGGCTCGGCTCCGCTGCCGGGAAAGAATAATGTCTTATTTAGTCCTCCAGAGCCGCGCAGGGGCATCGTTTTGCAATTCTTGCAGCAGGTCCCAAACGATGGAGCCTCCGCGCAAGTTCATTTCCCTCCCCGCAAGGCGTTTTCAGCTCCTGGAACATTAAAAGGTGAATAGTTTCCCCCCTAACCTTTTCCCAGGTCTCGCGTCCACAGCAATTATTATTTTTTCCAGACGTTGTTTACCATATCCACTCCGTAAGGCTCGAATATCCCGTCCTCAGCTTCCATTGGACCAGGCAGCCGCTTTATTATTATTATTATTATTATTATTATTATTATTATTATTATTATTTTTGCATTTCACCCTCCTATTATTAATATTACAGAATGGTTCTCATTGCATGCTTTCAGCAGAACTGTGGAGCCTTTGGTCTGAAAAGCGGCAGGGAGAGAACAAACCAACCGCTCAGATGACACGTTTCGCTTAATAACGATAATAATAATAATAATAATAAAATAATAAAATAATAATAATAATAATAATAAAGCGATCTGCAGAGAAAACAATAAAAGTAACGTCCTTTATCAATTCATATAAATACGAACAATATTTTCCAATAGCACTTCCTAAAAGCCAAATAAGGCTTAATTAATGAGCACCATAGAGATGTAAAAGATGTATAATAATGATAAAAATATGGATAAATATGCAATGGTGCGACGTGGAGACTGGCAAGTGCATCTCTCTCTGTGTGCGTCTCTCCGGTCTTTTTAGCGCCGAGTGAATACCCTTTTTATGATTCAAGTAGCCTTTTAACTGTGTTTTAAATCTGGACTTCAACAATTTCATGGAGCCTCCGCGCAAAGAAGTTTCCGGCTGCCTTTCCTTGCTCATTTTCTAAACAACAACCCAACGACGTTGTGCTTTTCACATTTTAAGCCGCCCAGGAAAACCTAGAATGACGGCGATCGCCATCACCGGCGATGGAGCTCCGTTTTATTAGCTCCCCCAGCAGCTATTAATAATCTGTGCTTAGCCGACTACAACTCCCAGCATGCCCCGTGGGCCCCTCCCCTCCCCTTTCCGCCGAAGCCCCAGAGGAGGAGGCGGAGACGCCTCGGCGACTACAACCCCCGAGATGCCCCGCGGCGAGGCGGGCGCCTCGCGGGGCTGATCCCTGTGCGCGCGGGGCATGCCGGGACCTGTAGTCTCGCCGCCCTCCCGGCTCTCGTAACGGTTCTGCCGGCTGGCGCTGCCCCCGCCCCTCCGGCTCCCTCCTCCCTCCCTCCCTCGCCCGCCTCAGCCAGGAGCCTCGGCGCTGCGCTCCCTCACAGCCCCGCTCGCCCGCCCGCCCGCCCGCCGCTCGCCCACAAAGCTCCGCGTCCTTGGCTCCCTCGCAGAGGCCTCCTGCTCCCCCCTCGACACCGCAGGACGCTGCTGCTGCTGCTGCTACGCGAGGGGAGGCTGGAGCCCCGGAGCCCCGCCGACGAGGAGAGGACGAGGAGGACCCCAGCTCCCAGACCCGCAGGTGGGAAAGGGGGAGCGAGGGGGGAGGGGGACACCCCCCCGCCAGAAAACCCCTCAGCAACAGCCTCCCCCGCACGCGCCGTCGAGTTCCCCTCCCCCCTTCGCTGGGGGGAGCCCCTCGAAACCCCCTCATAGCCCCCCATGGGCCCCTCGGTAACCCCCATAGACCCCCTCGATGACCCCCCCAGAGCCTCCCTCATAGATCCTCATAGACCCCTTCATAACCCCCCTCGATATCCCCCATAGACCCCCCTCAGCCTCCCTCATAGACCCCCTCGATGACCCCCCCATAGACCCCCCTCAGAGCCTCCATGATAGATCCCCATAGACCCCCTCCGTAACCCCCCTGATATACCCCCATAGACCCCCTCAATAACCCCCCATAGACCTCCTTGGTAACCCCCCATAGACCTCCTCGGTAACCCCCCCTTGATATTCCCCCATAGACCCCCTCAATAACCCCCCATAGACCTCCTTGGTAACCCCCCATAGACCTCCTCGGTAACCCCCCCTTGATATTCCCCTATAGACCCCCTTGGTAACCCCCTTGATATCCCCCCATAGACCCCCTCAATAACCCCCCATAGACCTCCTCGGTAACCCCCCCCTTGATATTCCCCCATAGACCCCCTCAATAACCCCCCATATACCCCCTCAATAACCCCCCCTTGATATTCCCCTATAGACCCCCTTGGTAACCCCCCTTGATATCCCCCCATAGACCCCCTCTGTAACCACCCCCTTGAGACACCCTCATAGCCACCTTGAGTTCCGTCAGGGAAAAAGGTGGGAGATAGACAGACAGACAGATATAATGTGAAAATATATTAAATATGTATAATATATATATATATACATAATATTACATCTATATCTATCTGTCGATCTGTCTATCTGTCGCCCCTTAGCCTCAGAGAGTGTGGGAGAGAGGGGAAACCCTAGCAGGGTCAAGTGTAAGGGGTCTCCTTGGTTTTCTCTCCCTTTTTCTGTGCCCCCTCCGCCAAGTTCTTGCAGTCGTGGGGGTGGTGTGTGTGTGTGTCTGGGAAGTTAATGTGGGGTCGGGCTTCTTAGTGGTTTTCTTATTTCTGGCCTGCAGTCTCAGGGTATTGGCGTGTTTAGGGGGATGCCGAGGATGCTGGTGGTGCGTATGTGAAATGTGTGTGGGGGGGTATGCACAAGAGAGGGTTCAAGGCAGGTTTTTTGGGGGGCGGTCCAGAATCACTGAGGAGGGGCTGCCCCAGAGTGCTTGCTTTGTTAAGGTTAAAGGATTGTTTTTTTTAGATGGGAGGGGGGCAGAGGCAATTTGTGCAATCACGTGCATGTTATGTATGTGTGTGTGTGTGTGTGAGAGAGAGAGAGAGAGAGAGAGAGATTGTGTACTCTTATTAATTTGTATGCACCCTTTAAAAATATTTTAGCCGGGGAATCTGGGAAACAGATGCCGTGCTTTGTGAGGACGGGGTTTGTGGCTCTGCATTGGGACCCCTGACCTCTAGTGGCATGAAGGGCGGGGAAAATTGTCAGGAGTGTGTCGGGGTTCATTTGTGTGTTGATGGCTCAGTGCATAGCTGTCAACTTTCAGATTTGAAAATAAGGGATCAGCAGTCTCACCTGTCCCGGGGACAGTCTATGGAATATCTAACAATCCGGGATAGCAGCAGGAAACAGTGCTGGAATAAGGGAATTTCCCCCCAAAAAAGGGAAGGTTGACAGCTATGGCTCAGTGTGGTGTGGAACATGCAGATGAAGTTTGTGAATCCTTTTGTGTGTTCTGGGGTGGCGGTGGCGCCGCAATAGGAAAATCCAGAATGGTTGACTGAGAACCAGAGAGGCCCCAGATTCAAACCCCTGATTAGCCACGAAACTCACTGCATGACCTTAGGCCAGACTCTTGGCGCACACCTGCTTCACAGGGCTGAGATGGCAGGGAGAACTGTGCCTTGAGTTCCTTGGAGGAGGAGGAGAATCGGGATATGTATAAATTTAAAAAGGATGGAAATGTCGAAAGGACTTTACAGTAAGCATTGGGGGACATAGCATGTTAGCACTGGGTAGGGGCAGGATAGTAAAGGGATACTGATCTCGGTGTGGGTTGGGGGGGTTGATGTAGAGGTGATACAGGGTTTGGCAAGATGTTTGGAATCTGGCACTTCCACAGGCTGGTTGTCTTAGAGAGTGGCAGTATCCCATGGGCAAGATGGCTTTAACAGGTGCCATTGGTGTGTCTGTGATGGGGACAGAGGAAGTCCCTGTTAGAGTTAAGGGTTGGGACGAGGCAGATGATGGCAACAGGCATTGAGGCAATTGTTGTTGTTGTTGTTGTTTAGTCGTGTCCGACTCTTCGTGACCCCATGGACCAGAGCACGCCAGGCACCTCTGTCCTCCACTACCTCCCGCAGTTTGGTCAAACTCATGCTGGTAACCTCGAAAACACTATACAACCATCTCGTCCTCTGTTGCCCCCTTCTCCTTGTGCCCTCCATCTTTCCCAGCATCAGTGCTTTTTCCAGGGAGTCTTCTCTTCTCATGAGGTGGCCAAAGTACTGGAGCCTCAGCTTCACGATCTGTCCTTCCAGTGAGCACTCAGGGCTGATTTCCTTAAGAATGGATGTGTTTGATCTTCTTGCAGTTCATGGGACTCTCAAGAGTCTCCTCCAGCACCAGAATTCAAAAGAATCAATTCTTCGGCGAATTGAGGCAATGGGAGATGGTAAAGGGCATTGGCCTGGCATTGACACAAGACACTGATATCTGGTGTAGCAGGGGCAAAGGAGCGTAGCAGGAGTGGGAATGCGGTGTGCTGATACAGGGGTATCACAAAAGCCCTGGGTTTGGGAAGGGGAAATGTGTTTGTGGGTGAGACAAAAGGGATAATTAAATGGATTTGGGATAATTTCTGGATGCTTGTTGGGCGTTCTGGAGGAAAAGCAAGATGGTGATGCGTTGTCCATAAAGGCTTTAAAGTAGATGGCTTTAGAACACTGTGGATTAGTACAGGGCCATAGCATGAAATGGGGAATCTTTCAAGGTGCTTAGCAGGGTGAACCAAGAAACACCGTGGTGGAAATCGTGAAGGGATCGAACAGCATGCTTTGGGGGTGGATGAGGGGGATACACCAAAAGCCAGAGTGAGCATATGAAAGGAGTGCATGGGAATTAGGACTTGCAAGCCGGCATGCCAGCAAGAAGTTTTGAAAGAATTCCAGCATGGTGCCATGAGTGAACTTGATCATGGCACTAGTGTAGGCACGAGGGGTGTGGCATAAAAACATTGGCCCCTGGGAGAGAACTGGATGGGCACATCATGTTTTCTGTCTTAATGAAGCAGTTGTTTAATATGATTGTTTAGGCAAAGGGAGTATGGTGAGGCTAAATTGGGGCATTGCTGATAGTGAGATAGGTAACAGGCAGGTGAGGGTAGCGAGATAACATGGGAGGGGTCTGGGATGGGTTATCTAAACTTGTTCATACTGTACTCAGCATGGATATCAAAGGTTAATATTTGGGGAAGAGATTGGGAGAAATTGGCGTTCGAAACTCCCATTGTTCTAGGTGTGTTTTGCGACAGGGAATTTCATTAATGGGAGCAGTTTCTGAGCTCTGGGCGCAGTACTGAGCCTAAGATTTCAGATTGAAACTGCCATTTCTGGAAGAAAAGGAGGACCTTTTTCTGCCTCCCCACATCCAGCCACTCTCTGAAGACTGGAGAAGGGACTCTCATGAGAATATTAGGGGGATGGGCAGGGGAAGGACTAGACCATGTGAAAAATGAACATAAGATTTTAGCTTCAGTTCATTCATTTTCAGCTTTGTATTCTTATAAAAAAGCATGCATAGACACTCCATTGCAGTGCCCATATCCTAGGTTTAAGGTGCCATTCAGTTTCTAACACTGGGAAGAATGCCTTTTGGAGCGAGGGTGGCAGTGGCAGTAGGGAGAGGACCAAATTACAGGAATGGCTGTGAAAATAGGGAGCATGTAAAGATGGCATACATCCAGCTGAATAGTGATCAGCGCAGTGTAATTTTGCCCATGCCCGCTCAAAAGTGCCCCTTGAGTTTGGTGGGACTTACTGTCAGCTAAGCGTGCATAGGATTGCAGCCTAAATATATGCTTCCTCAGCTGAGCTTCTGCAGCAGTGTTTCATAAGCATAGCACCTCTGAAGCGTCATGAATGTTCAATGCAGAGTATTGGAATGTGCCCACTTAGAGAATGACTCCTACGTGTACTATGCCAGACTGATCTGTGATGAGGTGCTGTGGGAGCTACATGCACATTTTAGACAGAGGAACGCTGCATTTTGCGAGAGCGTGGGGAAGGTAAGAACTGGGATTCTAATTTGCCTCCCCTCCTCTTGGGGGCTGGAAGGAGAATTAAGAGCACACATATACTTGCTTAGCATCACTGCAGTTCCTGAACGGCAAATACTCTGAACCTTTACTACCTCCTCTGAGCTTTGCAAAGGGCAACTCTTGGAAGTTACTCTGGGGCTGTGCAGAAGGATTCTTTTAGAGAAACCGGGGAATGTGTGTGTTCTGCAGCGTTCCTTTTTTTGCATGTAAATCACTTTGGACATTGTGTGGATGGTAGTGACCACATAAAATAAAAACCGGCATCAGTATATGTGCCTAAAATGTAACTAGGGCTGCCCTTGTACGTACTGGGAAAAGCAAATGGATGGGTGTTGTGTAACCCTATGTAGTGGGGAATGAGTATAGTTTCTGCCTTGTCTTTAATGATGTGCTGGAACCCAAGCTTTGGATTTGATGTGATTGAAAATGTCATCATGTAACATCCGTGGGCTGAAAGCAGATATATTGCAAGACTGAGAAATGTTCAGCTGCATTAATTTTCTATCATGAATACAGGCTGGAATGGGGATAAAAGGCTTTTTATATTTAAAGAGATTGCTGCAAGAGTTCATTTATTGGGACAGCAATAATAAGGGCAATTAAGTTTATGATTATATTGCTGATTAATAGTGTTGAGGTGAAAGTAG